TAAGTTTGATGAAGGGTGGACCATCGTGGGGAAGTATGAATGGATAAAGAGGGTTTGATCTACTGGTGATAAGCCAGGAGGAGCTCTGCAAGGCCTGTTTGTTCAGACTCTTCTCAACATCTCTGTGTCTTTGGCTCTTTTTCTCCAGAAATAAGGAGGGCTCCCCTTGGATAAAGGTCCTATGACCTGCTTCAGGGGAAGGTCAGAAAATCCTTGCTAGAATTTATGACCTGCTTCAGAAGAGAGGGGCGGAGGGAAAGAAATAGTAACCTTCCTGCTTCTGCTGTTTTCTCAAATGCCAAGGTACCACATTTTAGGGTAGTGTGGCCTGAATCCCATCACCTTCTTCCAACTTTCAGCCAAAGCTTATTATATGGTATGTTACAACCTCATCTCAGTTCTGTTTTGTGAATTAATGTTTGAACCCATATCCGTGCTTGTGGCAACCCATGATGGAGAGATCAAAAGTTGTCTGCAGAGGTTAGTTCTGAGATGGCTAGAGGTGAATTGTAGAAGAGTGCAGTTGAGAACCAGGTCCCCATGGAGGCCATGAAGACAGGGGACAATGGAATTTGTTTGTGAAAACAAACGCATGCCTTAGGGACTCCCTGAAATATATGGGGGAGAGGAACTGGTTCTAGTGGCATTGGGTAGGGAGGACTGAGACTTTAGTTATTTTTAAAAAGCCTCATTAGTCAATGAGGGAGCCGGGCAAATATGATTGCTTTGAAGAGCATTTAAGCCATGTGGGTATTTATGCTTAATTTAACAAGAAAGTGTTAGAGTAGGATTGCTGAGTTAAATATGAATATATTTGATGTCCAACAAGCCATATATCTTTGGGGTTATCTCTTCCACTAGACAGAAATTATTCACATTTCTAACCAACGAAAATTTGCAAGTGAACAAGTAACTTCACTAGAGCTGGAAATGTTAATTTGTGGTTAAAAATGAGATGAGTCAAATATATTCTTCTAGGCAATCCGGGGGAGTTCCTTGTCCCCATATGATATTGAAAGGATGTGCCACCCAACTTTTTGCCTTAATTCCAAGTTTTGGATAAATTTCTGTTTTTTTTTTTTTTATTTTAAAAAGTTTTTATAGCTTTATTAAGATATATTACATACAACGATTGATGAGTATTTAAAGTGTACAATTTGATTACTTATAACATATATATGCACTGTGAAACCATCACCAAAATGAAGACAACAAACATTTCCATCATACTCTTCACCTCCACAGAGTTCCCTCATGTCCTTCTGTAATCCATCCAAATGTCCACATCCTTCTCTAGGCAACCTCCGACCTGTTTTCTCTAGCTACAGATTAATTTGACTTTCTAAAATTTCGTGTAACCAGAATAACTTCATTTATATCCTATCGTATAAATGAAATCACTCAGGTGTTTTTCTATTTATGGTTTAGCCTTCACAGAGCAAATAGAGATCCACCTAGGTTGCTACACATATACCAATTGTTTCCTTTTGTTGCTGAGTAATATTGAATTGTATAAATATATATTAATTTAGTTTATCCATTCGCTTGTTGAGGGACATTTCTTAACATTATCTAGGCATAAAAAGAGGTGGAACCTTGACAGCTTCTCTAGAGGCTGCACGTAAGTATGCGGGGCGTCTGTGCTAGAAGCCACGAAGGCTATATTCTCTGTCTGGGGTTCTATGCCTGCCACCTTCTACTGCCTACATGGTTACTCTTGGGCTTTTTCCAGTTGCCTGGCTTCTACCAGGCTCACCAGTATTGAAACCTTGCTCTACACCTAGACTATTTGATTAACTTGATGAGGAATAGCTATTCTGGTCTTGACCTTCAGTAAACCTACAGGTAATGACAAAAATCGCCGTTTTGGGGCATTATACACTTCACAGATCACTTCTCCATTTATTGTTTATAAATATAAGATACATAACATATGCATTAATATATGCCATATATGAATATGGCATACAAATGAATGCTATATACATTATATGGAATATTTATTTTGTATGATACATGTAGATACACAGCTACATCAATTGATTGATTGATCAATCTATATAAATATCTGTATATGTCCACATGAAAAGTTCAGAAGGGTAAAAGTTGGATCTAGATAAATGAACAGAATTCAAGTTTCTAGTCAGTGGAATGAGACCTATGCTATGTACAAAAAGGGGCCACATAAGATTGCATATAGAATATGAACTCAACTGGGTAAGAAACTGCCCATAAGAAAACTTGAGGGGCATCTATTAAAATATTAAAATGATTAACTTTGAATTGTGGATGTATATATGTATATAATAAGTGCATATTATTTTGATAATCAAAGTCATAAAAGAAAAAAATGAAAAAAGAGGATTTGGGCATTCTGGTAGCAGGGAATATATGAAATGTATTAACACATGGGTTCTGTGATAAGTTTGAGGAAGAGGAAGAAGTTTTCTTGGAATTAAAATCTATGAGAATTTTTTCATGTGGAATTTCATAACAAGGAAATAAATATCTCCAGTATTTCCTCAGGCACAGATTTATACTTGTATTAATAGAATTCATATTATTGTTTCTTGTAATGCCCTTTCATAAAAACCAAGGGCATAACATTAAAAGTGAAGCCAGTGAAGGTTAACTTTAAGAGGATTCACACTGCAATAAATAGGTAGATTCCGAGTGGCTAAACCAGTCCAATAATAGATCTTAGAGAATAATTGACTTAACCAAGGTCACAGAGTATGTTAATGGCGGAGCCAGAATTAGACTTCATTTCTCTTGATTTTTCAGCCTGACAATGCTACCCATCCTCTTGCCTTGCCCCAAAAGAAGAAATGCAGACCTTATTTCAGTTCTTGTGATCACCAGCCATGATTGACTTGAATCCTTTACCCCAAAATATCCTGCAGGTATATACTCACTCACCTTTTTCACCCTTACATCAAACTACTTTTTTTCTTTTTACATCAAACCCCATTTTTTCTCTGAATAGGAGCTAGTGGGAGAGAGACGTAGATTTACAGAGGCTTGAAGAGATTAAACCACGTTTTATACCCAAATTTTGTCCACAAGAGACCAAGCTGCAAACACTTGTCCTTCAGTGATTAATGGAGAGAAATTATGGTGTAACTGATGGGAAATTTACAAGATGCTTTTAATATAATTAAAAATGATGTCTCTATTGGCTCTTAACTCTGTTCCAAACCTAATATTGGCTTCTTTCCAGAACTAACACATTTCTGTAGCAACAGGCGGACACATTAAAGAAAAAGAAAAATTCTTTCCATTTTTGAATTTGTACATATTTTTGACCAGAGTATAGTTTGTAAAATTTAATGTTAGTTTACTATATTATGAAAGAATCACTGGGTTGCTCTACTAATATTTTCATAAAATTGTGGAAAATTTTAGAGCAGAAGGAAGCACAGGGATTCATCTAAATCTGTCTCATTTTACAGATTAGGAAACTGAGTCCAGAGAGGCTTCTTCCTAGCTAGTCACTAATCCTTTAAATTTCTTTTCTTCATTCTTTGATTTGAAAAATAATATTTGAACTTCTATTATGTGTCAGATTATGGAATAGGTCCTAAAAAGATAATCATCAAAAGCCTGGGTTTACAGCCTAACAAATTACAAACTAGAGAAGGTACAGCACATATTAATAACCATTAATCTATCACAGCATATGTGACTTTCTCTCATATATAGTTCTGTTCCTAGAACTACGAAAGATGAGGGAATGCTGAAATTTGCCCGAGTCATCTGGAAATATTTACTAAAATGGATAATGTTTTATTCAGGCCTTGAAAAATGAGCAGGAATTCACCAGCTGCAGAAACAAAAAAGAGCATTGAAGGCAGAGAAAACAAGTGGCACAAGATAGAGGCAGGTGTGTGCTTGCTTGGAGCATGCCAAGGACTGGCTTCATATTTAGAGAGTGGTTGAAGGTGAGATTAAATAGGTGAGCTCTGATATGGTTGCAAAAGTCTTTATAGAGTCACTTAAGTGTATCAACTTTATTCTACAGGCAATGTAGTATGTAATGTTATGTAATGTTAAGCAGGAAAATGATATTTTACATTTTGACGTGGGCCTGTATTTGAGAGGAATCACTGGTGGCTTTGTGGAGGATGCATTGGAGGAAGCAAAGGACCAGTTAGGAGGCAAGTCCAGATGGAAATGATGAGCTAATGAACTAGGCTGATGAGAGTGTGCCTCATGAAGAAAATGAGAGGTTTATGAGGTTAGAACTGTCAAGACCTTATGACTGTGAGGGCTAAGACCCAGGCATCAACCAGGGAGGAAAAAAATGTTTTGAAGATTGAAGTCACAGAAACTAGGCTATGAAATACACGAAGTGGGTGGTAGGGAAATAGTTCACAGGCAGGTAATAGATTCAGGTCACCCAGGATGGGATACTTAAAGGCAATATATATGGAAAATAAGTGAAAAGTTGTGTCTTAAGCTCAAAAGAAAAATCTGGGCTAGTGTTACTGATTTTAGGTTTTGAAGTAGGTGAAAGTTGAAGCGAAGGAAGGAGAAAATAGAAAAAGTCAAAGTATAAAATCAGGGAGTCACCATGGTTAAAGGGTAAATGGAAGAAGGGAGCTAGTGCAATCCACGATTTAAAAGAATTATTGGGCCGCGCCTGGTCGCTCACGCCTGTAATCCCAGTACTTTGGGAGGCTGAGGTGGGCGGATCTCCTGAGGTTGGGAGCTCAAGACCAGCCTGACCAACGCAGAGAAAACCTGTCTCTACTAAAAATACAAAATAGTCGGGCTTGGTGGTGCACGCCTGTAATCCCAGCGACTCCGGAAGCTGAATCACTTGAATCTGGGAGGCAGAGGTTGCAGTGAGCTGAAGTCGCGCCCTTGCACTCCAGCCTGGGAAACAAGAGCAAAACTCTGTCTCAAAAAAAAAAAAAAAAAAAAAAGAATTATTGGTGAGGTAGAAAGAGAATGAAGAAGACAGTGCTATAAAAATTGTTAGTTATGATGCTTTCAGCTCAATTGACACTCAAACCAACTCAAAATTACTATAATGATAAAGTGAACTTATCTGCTTATGGAGCAAATACTCTATAGAGCAATACTCTAGAGGTAAGTAGGTAAGTGGGACCAAGAACAGGTGCTATAGTCACAGATCCAGCTCCATTCGCTTTCTGATTCTCCCAGAAATGCTCTCCTCTGGGTGTTGGGTTTCTCCCTAGACTGTTGGGGAAATGGCCACAGAAATTTGAGATTTCCCATCCATGTATAACCAAGGCCTGCTTTCCAGTGGTTCTCTTGCAAGTATAAAGAAACTTCTCCCCTAGCTTCCCCAGTTCCCATTGATCTTGCTCTTGCATTTTTTATTGGCTTGACATACCTATTCTGAACCAACTTCTCTGGTCAGTAAAATTCCATATGCCGGTTACATCAGACCTGGGTTTCTGAACTGGGCATTAGCATGGAAAGCAGAGATTGGGCTTAATCTCATTAGGAGGGGATTCATTGATCTCTCTTGTGTCATGAACTGCATCACTACTAACCAAAGAGGCTGAGATCCGGAATGGGTATCAGGAGGGGAAAGTATCTGACACAAAAGTCAAAAGAGAGAGCTTCAGAATGAATGGGTAATCATTCATGCCAAAAATTATCGTTGAGATCAAGTAGGATAGATATAAAGAAACCATTAAATGTGTCAGTCACTGGGATAAATGGTCATTGATGACCTTTGGGTGAGACTTTTTGGAGAAGCTCTGGGGCAACCCTTGCAGAACACTCTTTGAAGGAATCCAGTGGCACAGAGAGAGAGATAAGGGATGTTAAATCAGTTGCAATTCAATGAAGCCTGTAAATGTACTTGAGAATATTATTTTACTTTGTTAATAAATTCATAACAACTCATTCCTTTCTAGGTTGAAAGGAGGAAAATTAATCCTGCATGTGAAAACAATATGACAATTTGTGAACAAAAGGAAGAGGTTGTAAACACAGAGAGAATGATAAATATACAAGGCATGGTGAAAGGTGAGCACTAAAAAGTGAGAGATGGGATTTCCATCAAACATTTTATCAGAGTTGGAATCACACAATAATTTTGGTATATTTTGTCTAGTTAGTTTCTTGGCCATGATGAAAAATTGATACATTTTATTTATTAGGTCAGTTTTAGCAAAATTATATGCATTTTGTAACTGCACTGTAATTACACTAAAAGGTGGAGGTGATTCTCTTTTGAGTGTGGCCAACCATCCAGAAGATTGGTGTAGGGAAAGCAATAGGGCACATTTAGTCAATGTCAGGTTGAAGAATTTTCAGATTTCCAAAGCTCAGTCAAAGCATAAAACCAGTTTTCAAACCCTAAGGTCAACAAAAGTTTCAAACCCTAAGGTCAATCCTAAGGTTACAATGACTAACATATATTGAGTGCTTACCGTATGTTAGAAACAGTTCTAAGTGTTTTATATGCATTAACATAACATGTGATAATAATAACAATAATATGAAAGATATCCTCATGTGGCTCATAGGTGTTTTTCAATTTTTAGGGAAAGTCATTCTAGTAATGATTTCCATTTCATTTTTATTTGTACAGCACTTTACACAGTTCATTCAATTTTCTCCCCAAGTCATAATAATTATGTGAATTAAGAATAGCTGATATTCTTCTTATTTCTTAGATGGGAAAACAGAGTCCTGGAAGAGTTGCTAAGTGATTCATTGAAAGCTACCAGTTATCCTGAATGGTGACTTAGTGTCTGGGTTGCAGCTGTTCTACAGTAAATGGAGAGATAGCAAGATATGCAGAATGGGATTAAGGGAATATTATGTTCGGCATGATGAAACTGGGAGAGGTGAATTCTTGGGTAGATTTTTACTCAGAGTGGCCAAAACAGACTGGGGTGAGGGTAAGGCTTCCAAAGTAAATGGCTGGACTAATGATAGACCCAGGCTTATGCTAAGGATAAGGAAAGTTCATTTCATAGATTGCCATGTTTGGAAATTATCTGAAAGAGCATTCTAATATACCCTCTCCTCTTACCAAGAGGATGCCAAGGGCCGCAGAATTACTACTGAATAAGGGACAAAATCTTACCCATTAGCTTACTGACTCCTATCCCAGTGCTCTCTCCACTACCCTACGTCATAAGAGAAGAAAAATAAACCAGGCAAAGAAACAAATATAGAAAGGCAAGTGGTGTGATCCAGAGGCTTGTCTCCCATCAAAATTCAGAGGACAAAGAAATACTTATTTTCGTAATGCCCAAGGAAGAATTGGTCTGGTCAAGTAACTGGTCATGGTCATGTATGTATGGTACTAAAGTTAGGGTGAAGGGGATTCCAAGCCATGAGGAGGAGATCTCAAAGCCTTACTACAATGTCTGATAAACTATGACGTTAGGCATTGGAATATATCCTACATTCTCTGCAAAGATACTGAAATATTTGGGAATTTTCTGTAATATTGATGCAATTTGTCTTGATTTGGGGAGAAACAGTCAAATTTAAAAAATTGCAGATCCTTTTCGGTAATAGACGACTCCCTTTTGGGAGTTGAGGGTGGAGCAGAGAATGCAACTGCCGGCTGATTTATTTCCCTTAGAGCCGGAAGCAAGTAAACTTGTTTATTATTTGTCATAGTTATTACACTATTCATAATCTGTTCTCCCATAAGAATAGTATTGCAATGATGAATGACAACATATATATAGAACAAAATAAATGTATTGCAGGAAGCATTTCCAGTGACATGAACAAGAAATTAGGTCTGCGAGATGTTCAAGCTGTGCTGAACAACTCCAGTTCTGTTCCAGAACTCACCTTTGAAGGATAAGAATGGGTAGATACATTCCTAACTGATATTAGATTGCTAGCTCCCCTCTCTGAAGACAAGTCTGTGTCTTAATTTATTTTTTGATCTCTTAGAGCCTCATTCAAGTAACATACTGACATACATGTAGAGTAGAATATGTTGAATGAAAGTGACCTTTTCGTTGTGATTTTCTTCAACATGATGACTAACATATATCGAGTGCTTATTGTGTGTTAGAAACAGTTCTAAGTGTTTTACATGCATTAAATCTCTCAATCCTCCTAACAACCTGGTAAGGTAAAAATACCTTTATTACTCCCTATGTATGTGCAAGGAAAACGAGGCACAAAGGGACTACATAATTTACAAAACCACAACACAGCTAAATAAATCATAGAGCTGGGACTGAGTCCCAGGCATCTTGCTGGCTATAGATGCTGCTGCTGTCCTCACTACACTGCGCTGCCTTCTATCCGTAAGGGGTGTGTGTGTATGGTGTGAGTGAGGGTATATTTTCCTCCAAATTACTCATAATTTATGGCACCATAATTTATTTTATGATCTTCCCTTTCCTCTCTGATTATATTTCCATATTAAATTATCACTTTAATATTTTGTACCACTGATGTCTATTCTTTTGTCAGTACCATGCCATACCTCCATAAAATCTTTCAATATCTGCTTGTCTCATCCCTTCTGATGTCTTTTATTTTTCAAAAAGTTTTGCAGTTTTTCATATTATTCTATTGTTTTTTGTTTTGTTTTGTTTTTCACATGTTACCTTGAGCTCAAGAAAAACTCTTCTTTCTCCAGAGTGTGGAGACCTCAGGCCAGGAACATTCCTTAAAAATCATGCAGGGAATCCAAAGGTCAAGATGGACTCAAAATAACTTTAGGATGGGGCTAGAGGTATAGGATGTTAGGCATATGTGATGAGCTGGGTCTTACCACACTAGCCTTGCCCTATTTGGTATCTGTGTGCATATACATACACATATACATATGTGTACACACTTTTTTTTTTTTTTTCCCTGAGCTTCTAATGTCATCTTATCTTGATTCAAGGGAAGGTAAAGGATTTGGGAAGTAATTGTATTTCACAAATAGTTACTCTGGGACCTGATTGTTCTCTAGGCCAATGTGCCCTTGAAAAGATGGTAGCAAACATGGAGGCCAATGGAATAGTAGAGAAACAATTCATGGTGCTTTGATTTCTTTCTCAGGGGATAAGTCTTGGAATACTGGGTTAGCGAAGGGTCTTCTGCATTTTGGGGCCTGGGGGTGGAGAAGGCCAGTTTGGGGGAACTGTGGAGGAACTTTCCTCTGTTTTGACAACAAATAACTACAATTTATTACATGTTTACTGTGTGTTAGGTGATATTCTAAAAGCTCTATGTACTCTATCTCTTTGAGTCTGTCGAATTCTATAAACAGGTAGCATCATTCTCTTTTCACAGATGAAGAAGCAGAGGATTAGAATAGCTATGTTATATAACTCATCAGAGTCATATAACTGATAATTCAGACCCAGGTTAAAATATAAATCTTTGACATGGTTTACAAGATCCTCCACAATCTGACCTTTGCCTACCTATCAGCCTTACCTCATGCCACCTAAATTCAACCACACAGGATTTTTAGCTCCAGTTTTAAAATACATCTTGTCTGCTGTGGCAGAGGCATAGCTAAGTGTTCCCCAAAACTTCCTTTTCTTCTCAAGCACAGAGAAGACTTCTTTTTCAGCCTCCCCTTGGATGTTGGTGGGATCATATGACTAATGGAAGGAGAATGAAAGCAATGTGCATCACTCCAGACCTGGTCCCTAACGCATTTCATATTCTCAACTCAGTTTTCTGTTTTCCATTTGCACAGCTGGTGTGCAGTACCCTCAGACAGGAGATAGTAAAATCACAAGGCAGTGTTCCTGTCTTCACTACTTTGACAAAACCTGACCAGATCAGCTGCTTGAAGAGCTAGGACATGAGAGATAAATTTTATTGGATAAGTATCTGAGATTTGGGGGTAGTTTGTTACAGCATCTAGCATTACTAACCATAATTAAGCCACTTGTTCTAAACAGAAATGTCAAACTTTTTTTTTTGTTTGTTTAAGGCCAGGTAGTAAATATTTCAGGTGTTAGAGGCCATGTGATCTCCTTTGCAACTAATCAACTCCACTCGGCAGTTGTCGTGTGAAAATGACCTTAGACCATACGTAAGTGAATGGGCATATCTGGGTTCCAATAATGCTCTATTTACAAAAATTGGCACTGGCCAGATTTAGTTTGCCAATGTCTGTACTACACTAAAGGGCTAGAACAGCCCATACTGTTTCTCTGTTGCAGTGTCTCAGTCTCCAGCACTCTGATGCAACCCAACCTTTGTTTGGCTAAACTGTTACTCCCCATAGCTTAGGGAGGATGTTTCCCCATTTCCCTTGTTTCCCTCTTTCTGATTTCTCTGCCTGATATGGGTTGGCTGTGTCCCCACCCAAATCTCAGATTGTAGCTCCTCTAATTCCCATATGTTGTGGGAGGGACCCAGTGGAGGTAATTGAATCACAAGGGCGGGTCTTTCCCATGCTGTTCTTGTGATAGCGAATACGTCTCACAAGATCTGATGGAGTTCCCCTGCACATGCTCTCTGTCTTGTCTGCTGCCATGTAAGACATCCCTTTGTTCTTCCTTCATCTTCTGCCATGATTGTGAGGCTTCCCCAGCAATGTGGAACCGTGAGTCCATTAAATCTCTTTCCTTTATAAATTACCCAGTCTCTGGTATGTCTATATTAGCAGCATGAGAACAGACTAATACTCTCCCCTTCTTGTCAATTGGGTTAGTCTCCATAATCATATGTCCCCAGAGCAGTCACCTATACTTTCTTTTTCATAATAAACCTCTTGTCTATAATATTAGATTGGTGCAAAAGTAATTGTGATTTTTACTGTTAAAAGTAATGGCAAAAACTGCAGTTGCTTTTGTACCAACCTAATAATTTGTTCAATGTCTGTCTTCCTTACTATGCTGAGAGCGTCATGAGAAAAAGATGCCATATCTATTGTATTCCCTGTTTTATCTCTAGAACCTAGCACAGGACCTGACACAGACTAGGTGCTATTAATATTTGCTGAGTCAATGGGTAACTACAAGTCATATGTTGTTAACCACTGCCTGCAATATATAGAATTTGTGGAAACACATCCTTCCTTCCCCTCC